TAGATGGTGAAGAGGAACGGAGCCAGAACCGTTCCCTGTGGGGCCCCCGTACTGCAGACGACCCTGTCCGACACACAGCCTGAGTCCTCACATACTGTGGTCGGACGGTGAGGTGATGGTCCACTCTGTGGATCTTGTGCTCAGAGCTTTTTAAAAAATAAATAAAGTAAAACTAAATACAAAACACAAGAGACAGGACACTACCAAAATAATAATAATAATAATAATGAATAATAAATATATAAATAAATAAGAAATAAAACAGGTAAACCTAAAATACTCGACACAGACATGGAGACACAGGGAACACGGGGGAGGCAGGTATTTTGTAAAGAGCTGTATGTTTAGTATATCTGGCTGATCATTAGTGCCTCTGTGGATAGTCAGGCATTTTATGTATCTGTGCTCTTGAGTTGCCCACAGCTCAGACCGATGACAATGAAATTGCTTTACTTTTGCAGCAAAAGATTTTCGCTCTGAATCATCTCTATGCACCTGCTAATTTTATGAAGACACACACACACACACACACACACACACACACACACACTCATGAAATTGAATTTTCCAATTAAATATAGCAGACAGAATTTATCAGAGATTAATGTTTTTTAACCCCGTGAACCAAAGCTGAACGTCCTGACTGTAAGTCATAGGACTGCAAACTGAATATATTAAACAGCAAAAATAACAGAAATATTTTGTGTCCTAAAAATATGACCCTGACTCAATGTTTGCTGTTTTACAGTAGATGCATGATTACAAACAGCAATGCAGAGTGATCAGGCAGTTATCATTTCTATGAATATTCACAGATGACGAGATAAACATGCTTTCCTCGTTCCTCCCGTCGTGGCCCTCTGTGCCATTTCCAGAGCAGAGCAGTGTGCTCTGACACGCAACGGGAACAGAGAGGCTTTGCTTTTTGAAAAGCGCATGAAATAAGAATAGGAGAGGGTTTTAATCATTGATTAGCTTTGACTGACTCAGAGCAGGCACGTTGCTGGTTTCTTCGACTTCAGGATTCCCTGAGGATTGTAGCATAAATGAGAGACTGTTGACGGTACGAGCCAGTGCACTCGAAGGTGTTTGGGGACAAAGTCACAGTTCCTCTGCAGACCATACACTACATTCACTTATCTGCCTTATGTTAATATCTGTGTGTGTGTGTGTGTGTGTGTGTGTGTGTGTGTGTGCGCGCATAGGTCCCGAAACTCGTGTTTACATCATGAGACGTACATTTTTCATCTGTGTGGTTGACCCAGGCAGGATTATTCAATGACAAATGTATCTGTGTGGATACATTTTGAAAAGTGACAAAGTGACTGTCCCAAGTCTGAC